GGTGCCCCGAGGGGGGAAGCTGGGGGGGGGGGCACCGGGAGCCCCCTGCTCTGCTCGGCTGTCTGTCTATTTTGTGTCCTATTAAATAACCCCTTTTGATTGAACCTCTTGTCTGCTTAATGATTCCTAATATCCCCCTCGTGATGCCACGGAGATCTAATTACACCCTTAATCTTCTTTATTAACTTCTGTTCACCCTATGAGCCAAACCTGACTCCCTACCCTGGGTTTTGCTCCCGTGCCATGAACGGCAAGAGCTCCGTGAGTCCTTTTTTCCCAATAAAAACAATCCTAGCAGGAAGGAAAACACGTTGGATTTGAAAAGGAAGAGGAGAATTGTGCTGGTGGAGCAGAGGAAGGCTCTTGGCACCCTCCTGGCCGTGGGAGCTGCAGCAGAAAGCGCTCACAGCCCAGCTCTGGGGAGGGTGGAGATGGGGAAGGGGAGAGCTGGGACCCCAGCCCTGCCTCCCACCGGGGTGCTGGCAGCCAGGAGGGGAACTTCAGCCTCTCCACACCTCCCAGAGGGGATTTTTTTTTCCTCCCTAGTTTTCTTTTCTTCCAGGGGCAGGAGCTGTGAAGAGCAGAGCTGCCAAGGAGCGAATCTCACCCTTATCTCTTCCCATAATGACATCAGCCTGAACCTCCAGCTCCCCGAGAGCTCTGCAGAGCTGCTGGGGATGGAAAGAGCTTGAATCCACCCTCGTTCCTCTGGCTCAGTGCCCTGGAGCAAGGTCACTCCCAGCCTGGGCACCTTCCAGCAACTCCCCAGTGGGGCTGAAGGGCTGGTGGGACGTGGAGCTGCCCCGACCCCTCCCCAGGGAGCAGTTCCTCCCTCACCTAGGAGCATCAGGCATCAGTTTGGAAGCACTGGGGGCTGGTGTGGGTTCCAATCCTTCACCTTCACCCTCGTGGAAAGGGTTCTGCACCCTGCAGTGCCCAGGGTGGGTGCTGCTGGAGGCAGGTCCCTCACTGAGCAAGGTGTTGGGTGAGGCAGCGAGCCCTGAACGTGCTGAGTGGCTCAGAGACCTCACGGTGCTGGACAAGGTTGTGCTCCTGGTCCTGGGTAAAGTCATTGACAGATGGAATTTTGGGCCACTGCCTCCCAGAAGGAGCTTGAGGGGCTGGCCCTGCAGTGCCCAGGGTGGGTGCTGCTGGAGGCAGGTCCCTCACTGAGCAAGGTGTTGGGTGAGGCAGCGAGCCCTGAACGTGCTGAGTGGCTCAGAGACCTCACGGTGCTGGACAAGGTTGTGCTCCTGGTCCTGGGTAAAGTCATTGACAGATGGAATTTTGGGCCACTGCCTCCCAGAAGGAGCTTGAGGGGCTGGAGCGTGGGCAGAGAAGGGCAACGGAGCTGCTGGGGAAGGGTCTAGAGGGCAAGTGTGGGGAGGAGCAGCTGAGGGAGCTGGGGGTGCTGAGCCTGGAGCAAAGGAGGCTCAGGGGAGACCTTCTGGCTCTGACACCTCCTGACAGGAGCCTGGAGCCAGGGAGGGGTTGGGCTCTGC